ATCCTCAACAGAAATGCTCACAACAATGGAAACCTCGGACAGGAGGAAGAGCGCCACCAGGTGGGCAGGCAGGCATCATGCTCGGCTGTGGCTTGGGGGGGCACTTTTTTCAGTGCCATTGTAACTTTGAACTGTCACTAAGCGAACTGTTGTAAGTCGAGGACTACCTGTACTTTATCACTTTTTTCCTTTTTTGGGGGAGGGGATCATCATGTTTTTGACACCTTGCTAGGCGACTGGTGGTCCTCGGATATTGCCATATCCTAAAAGTGGTACAATGGGTGAAAAAGTTGAAAAACCCTGCCAATTGCTGGAAGCATGTGACTTTCAGCCTCTCCCATCCCCTGCCCCAACACCATTTTAGGTCTGAAACCAGCTGCAGTGGGACTTGAAAATTCAACTTCTAGATTTCGTTGCCTTCACGGGGGCAGCCTCGTATCTCTTCCTTTTGCTGGATTTTCACTTGGAAGCCTTCTCGAAAAGCGGAGCAACTTCACAAAAGATGTGATTTCCTAAGTGCCGCTGAACGGGTTATGTGGCCAGATGGATAGTAACATTAATTTTCCCCAGAGCTAAACCTGGCTCATGATGGTTTCAAGAACACACTCATTAATAGAGTGCTCCAAGGAGAAAGTCTAGTTTGGGTATACTGAAGTCAGAGTGAAATTTTCAAAGATAAATGGAAAGTGACTGTGAGAAAGTATGTAGAATAGGCAGAGCAAGAAGGGACCTTGGAGGTCTTCTAGTCCAACCCCCTATTCAAGCAGGAGACTCTAGATCAGCGGTTCTCAACCTGTGGGTCGGGACCCCATTTGGGGTTGAACGACCATTTCACGGGGGTCGCCAAACAACGCAGTCCGCCATTTCCCCCCCCCCTTTTCCTTAGCTGTGCTGCTCCCTTTTATTCTGTTGGCTTTTGAAAGCCAATAGAATAGACCCTCTTGAATAGAGTCTAATTCTATTGGCTTTCAAAAGCCAATAGGAATTGTCCAGGCTGTCTCTGCCCTGCTGAGCCCACCAAAAGTCCCATTCTGCAAACAGTGCTGCACCAGTTGAGTAGTCCTCGACTTATGACCGGTTGAGTAGTCCTCGACTTACGACCGGTTGGGGGTCGCGGCATTAAGAAGGTTGAGAACCACTGCTCTAGATCATTTCAGACAATGACTGTCTAGTCTCTTCTTAAAAACCTCCAGTGATGAAGAACCCACATCTTCTGGAGGCAAGCTGTTCCACTGGTTAATTGTCCTCACTCTTAGGAAGTTTCTCCTTAATTCCAGGTTGCTTCTCTCCTTGATTAGTTTCCATCCATTATTTCTTGTCTTGCCTTCTGGTGCTTTGGAGAATGTTGACCCTCTCTTCTTTGTGTCAGCCCCTCAAACACAGCTATCAAGTACTGATTTAACACGGCGTTTCTCAACCTTGGCAACTTGTAGATGTGTGGACTTCAACTCCCAGAAATTCCCAGCAAGCCATGGCTGGTTTAGGGAATTCTGGGAGTTGAAGGCCTCACATCTTCAAGGTGCCATGGTTGAGAAACACTTTTCACATTCTCAATGGCTGCGTTCATACCGCGCACTTACATGGGTTGATTTCCACATGTTCCATTGGGTGAGCTTTGCGAATAGGCTTCTAGAGTTTTGTGGGTGTTGTCTGCCTGCTCAGCTTGTTTGTGAAACTGTTCATACTGTGGAATCCTCACATTTTGTAAGGACCCACCCCACTTTGCATCTTAAGTAGACAGAACTCTTGGAATAGTTCTTCCAACAGGCATCCTTTATTAAAAGAAAATGGTTGCAGGCGTTCTAGACAGGACTTGGGGTCCATGCTCTCCTATTCAAGGTTTTAAGGGGTTCCCCAGTAGCCCCACCCAATCACCCCCTTCTTCCAGTGACAGTCTCAGGCATTACACTCCCACCCCCTTTTCCTTACTGCCGGCTGGATGAAGACTTCAGAGAGGAGTACATGAAAGGTAATAGCCCCATTGTTATGGGTAGTCCTTTTGATGATATCCACATCCAGTCCCTTTGAAGTGTATTGAAGGAAGTGAGGGCCATAAAGCCCCTTTGTTCACCCCATTCCCTTCATCGTATGACAGAATCCAGAGAAGGCAGAAATGGGGTTTTCTATAGTTGATAACTAGAGATGAAATATAATTGGATTCTGACACATTTGGTTAATTCGTAAATATACAGTTACTGGGACAGCACTGCTTCCTTCCTGCCTCTACAAAGACTAATAATTAAGTGAAATTCTTGTGGAGGGTAAGATTTTTTCCTTTTACCTTACACGAAAGAGTTCCAAGAATTGAAAAGAGCATCCTGTTTGTATCTCCAAAGGAACCCACAACTTCTGTTGCTCCCGGCTTGAGTATTACATCCAGTGGTGGGATTCAGCCAGTTCGCACCAGTTCAGCAGAACCGGTAGCTAATTTTTTGTTGCCCAGGCCCAGAATGGATTTCCAGAAGCGGCATCCACACAGAGACCGGGTTGTTCACGTATTTGAATCCCACCACTGCTTACATCCTGGGAGAAATTCTTAGCAAGCAAACCTTTGCTGAGAATTTTCAGGAAGGCAGCTGTTTAACCAGCAAAGTGATAGGAAAAAGAACTAGCCAAAACTAGTAGCTGCTCTCCCTACCACTTTGAGACTTTAAAGAAATCCCAAGAGCACCACCCATAGCAGCATTCCAATATTTGAGGGGCTGCCGCAAAGAAAAGGGGGGGGGGCGGTCAACCTATTTTCCAAACCACCAGAAAACAAGACGAGAAGCAATGAATGGAAACTCATCAAGGAGAGAAGCAACCTGGAACTAAGGAGAAATTTCCTGACAGTGAGAACAATTAACCAGTGGAACAACCTGCCTCCAGAAGTTGTGGGTGCTCCATCACTGGAGGTCTTTAAGAAGAGACTGGACAATTTGTCTGGAATAGTTTAGAGTCTCCTGCTTGAGCCAGGTGGTTGGACTAGAACAGGGCTTTTCAACCTTTTCGTCCATTGTACCATTTTTAGGATATGGCAATATCCGAGGACCACCAGTCGCCTAGCAAGGTGTCAAAAACCTGATGACACCCCCCCCAAAAGGAAAAAAAGTGATGAAGTACAGATAGTCCTCAACTTACAACAGTTTGCTTAGTGACAGTTTGAAGTTACAATGGCACTGAAAAAAGTGCCCCCCAACCCACAGCCGAGCAAGACACCTGCCTGCCCACCCAACGGCGCTCTTCCTCCTGTCCAAGGTTTTCATTGTTGTGAGCATTTCTGTTGAGGATTGGCGGGGGGGTGGGGTGGGTGGGGGGTGTTTGGTTTTTATTCCCCCATCTGCTGGGTGGTTGCAGCAGGTTTTGGTCACTTTATGTGACCCTGGGACACTGTGACCGTCATAAATATGAATCAGTTGCCAAGCATCTGAATGTAAATCACAAGACCCTGGAGATGCTGCAAACTTCCAGCTGATCGGCGCTTCTTCTGGGCTCAGCAGAAGCTGGAGCTCGGCACTGATCCTGGTGCTTCCACTGACAGCCCTGCAGCTCCAGCCGTCTCTCGCTCAGGCTTGTGCATTGCTGCCACCAGTTCAGCTCATTCCCCTCCCCCGCTACCACTTTTCTAGGATGGTCGCGTACCACCTGCCAGGTGCCAATGTACCACAGGTGGTACCCGTACCACTGGTTGAAAGCCTTGGACTAGACTAGGTCCCTTCCAACTTGGTTATTCTGTTAAATAATCTATTAAAGACTTCCAAACCCAACAAGAGAAAATGGGAGAAAAATGGCAACCTTGTTTCCAGGAAAATAAAATGTTTAGAAAAGTTAACAAACCTGTTTCTACAAAGCACCAAGTCATGGAAGGACACTAGTTAAGAGTTGGCTATCTCACATTTGATCCAGAATGAATTACTCTTTAACTTTTGGGATGGATTTGGGATGGATAAGAGGCTTAGGCAAATTTTCCACGAGCGGATCCTAGCGACAGTTTGTTAACAGAGAGTTTTGAAACTTATGTTTTTTTTATAAGTATTGTTCTTCCCATAAACTATTTCATTGTTAATATACTACATAGAAGGCAGGTCAATAATTGGCGAAGAGATTTGCTAGTTTAAAAATGGGGGGGGCTGTTTCACAAGGAGTGGGGACCAATATTGCAGTAATGCATTGATCAGAATTCAAATGGGGGAGATAACAAGTGTATATATGTGTTGTGTTTTTTTCTTTTCATTGCACTTTCTAACGTCTCGATTGTTTTGTGGGGGTTTTTTGTTGTTTTGTTTTTTAATTTTTCGGAGTTTTGTATTTTAACTTTCTTTTGAATAAAATAAAAGTAGAAGGTTTTTTAAAAAACAAAAACGAAAAACCCAGATGTGGCTGTCCCTAGAGAAGAGACCAGGAGAGTGTTAGTGGGATTTATACACCAGGAGATAACATTTAATTAAATGCTGCTTTTGGAGGAGACACGCTGGCCTTTGAAGAGAAAGATTTGATGGCAAAACACACTCTGTGCAAAGTTAGCTGGGGGGTTCAGCAGAGCACCGTTCAAGAGTTCAGCATGGCATGGAATTCCATAACAAGGTCTTTAAAAAACCTAGACAATTTCCTTTCCCCATCAATTCTCCTGCCATAAATTCCAAGGAATCTGTATTTCTCTTTCTTCCTTCTCCCCGTCCCATTACTTTTTTCCCAACGAGGCAGATTTTTCGTAAAAGAAGGAAAAAAAATCTTTTACATTTAGTTTACTTGCACCCAAGGAAGGAATTAACTTGGGATTCTTTGGATATAGGGGATTCAGTGTATGAATTATGTATGTACGTTGAGTCAGTGTGTTCTAAACCCCTCTAACAATGGGTGAAGTGTCATACACATCATTAGTGCATTCCACCTTGGTTTGCACAAGCAATTGTGCCTTTGTGTGGGTTAGCCCAATCCTCTATGAGTATCTCTTCCTCAAAACACTGCTTTGACCGGGGTTGTTTCACTGTGTGACTTTTTGTTTTGTTGTCTCCCAGTAGGGTCTCCGCCAAAGGATCTGGTCAGCTTTTTTGAATGTGTGCTGACCCTGAACACGATAGGCAGGTCAACTTCAGTGCAATAACAGTAGGAATCCCTGCCGTTTTGCCCTACCCATAAAGAAGGTATGGTTCATTCTGTTTTATTGGGAGCGGGGGGGGGGGGAAAGAAAAGATAAACCCCACAGGCAGGAGTCTATTATATTGAAAATCTGCAGCCTAATGTTTCTGAGTCAAGCGAGGAGCAGCCTTTCCCTGACCCAAACCGTGCAGTCTGAAAGCAACTGAAAATTAGATTCCTTCTGACGTGAGTTAAAAACACAAACAGGCAGCTCTCTTCTGCTCACCCTTCCTCCTTGCCAGCACTTTCCAGGGATTTACAAAACATTCCTCTGCTTCTCCCTAAATCCCCAGGTGTGCTGTACTTCTACTGCAGCTCTGGGTCCTGGAGATGGCTGTTCCTTTGTTCCATTCACCTTCTTGAGTAGAAAAACAACCCGGAATCCAGTAGGGTCCTCTTTCTCAAGCATCCTCGCTCCGACAGCGTGCAGAGATGCCCCCCCACCCCGCCCCAGGCTGGCCCCCAAGCTTTCCCCCTTTGCCTTCTTCTTTCAGACTGATCCCTGCCTTTTCCCAAAGGCAGAAAAGGGCTAGTCCTTTGAGAGGTTCCGTTAAATTATTTAACTTCCACAAGCTGCTCAGCAGCCCGAATGTCTATTTCTGTCTGTCAAGCAAAAAACTAGGTCATTTACTGTTTGCCATTCCAATCAAACAACTGCAGGGATTTTAGCTTGCCTTTGCTGAGATACTGTGCCCCCTCCCCCAAAAAAACACCTCTGGATCTCTTTCCGCATTTCCTACACCCCAAACAGTTTGCCCAAGAGGAGATAAAGACAGAGGCACCCAAGCAATCCTCTTGAAAGGATAAGAGTTTAGCAGAGCTGGCAGTCAGATTCTGTCTGGCAGCTCCGTGAGAATCCTTATTGATGGAGAAATTGCTGTAGGAATTTTTTTTTCACCTCTACCAACTGGCCTCCAGATCGTCCTAGATCCTTGTCAACAAGAGATTCAAACCCAGATGCTTCCATTTTAATACATGTATGTATTTATTCATTGAGTTTTGTTCACCAATACAGTGAAAAATGGCATTAAAATTTACAATGGGTCATTCCTAGAATGTCATGACATTTTTTTCTTTTATAATTTTTTTTGCTTGTCTTCATAAAATGTCATTGTATATTCTTGAAAAGATTCTTTTTCCATGCATAACAGACAATAAGCTTCTTAAAAAAAATAAATTAAATTAAAGTACAAAATTAAAAACAGCTCTGAATATCCCCTCTTAAGAAAGAGGCATCATATAACCAGCAAGTTATCTGAACACATTCATAAACAGTGCAATTATTTTTTTTTCCAAATTCATCAAAGTCCATCAACTAAGCCATGACCACAGTATAAGATTCGTTAAATACATTTCTTGTCAACAATGAGTGCAAAACACATTCAGTAAGTCCTGTTCAATACTGATATAATTAAAAGAGCCAACTTTTTTCGATATTTCTGCCTTCCTGTGAGAAACCCACCATATAAATCTTGTCTGCCTTTCCTTTTATGGAGAAAAAATACAAACAATCTTTTGATGCAACGTTTGACATTAGACATTAGCAGATTGTTGTTTAACAAATATTCAGATATAAAAATACAAATATGAAGAGTTTTCTGTTAAAAAGAAGCGTGCCATAGTGGGATGACCAGTGGCACCAAGACGTGGCACCGAGACCAGGAAGCTCATGCAAAAAAGATGGAGCAAAAATGTCTCTTGACAGCAAAATAATCACTGTCTTTTATACTATAGTCCATCCAAATCAGAATCTTTTTTTTTTTTTTTTTTTTTGTCTTCTTCCACTCAGCACTGCTGGCTTTGAGTTTGCTTCCAAACTGCTGGTATTTTGCAAACAAATTTTCTTTTCTTTTTGTAATTTTTACAGGTGGGGAATAAGGGATAAAGGAATGAACTCTGATGAAGCAGTTACCAGTGTGGACTATTGAGTGGTAAACTATTATACAAATACGATGAAACCTATTATATTTAGAGTACAGGGTGGATCTGGTATTTGTTAACCTGGGGATCTATGCCTATGCAAGATGTCAGCTATGCAGCCACTCCCCCCCCCATCCCAAAGTGAAAGGCGTAAAGTGCATTGCTAAAGGAGACCCCCCCCCTTTTTTTAAAAATTAAGAGCACTAGGCGATCCTGTGGCTCAGCACCGTCATATCGTGGCATGGGGTCACCCAAGACCAAAGAGGGGAACGCAACTGCTGCTGTTGTGAACCGGAAGAGTGGTGTTTGTGTGTGTGTGTTTCTGTATGTGTGTGTGTGTGTGTGTGTGTCGGGGGTGGAGGGGAAGAGAGGGGGGGAAAGGGGCAAGATGCTAGTAGGGACAAGACAACATAGCCTAGTAGTCGCTGCGGTGGACGGTTCCGCAGGCAGTGCATCCAAGCGGGGCGGGTGCTGAAATGAACGGCTCCCCCCATCTGCAGGCGCGTAGGAAGCCGGGCCGGCGCCAGCGGCTCGGCGGGCCGAGCGGCGGCGGCGGTGCTGAAATGGACAGCTCCTCAAGGCGCAAGAGCGCCATTCAGCGCCGGCCCTTCCTCCTCCCTCCCGCCAAAAAAAAGAGGCCTCTTTTTTTTTTTTTTTCTTTTTCTAGAAGGGTCGTTTGAACTCCGGGATTGGGCATCGTCCCGTCTGGCAACGGGCGGGGACAACGTGGGATGACAAGGTCTCGGCGTCCCGCGGCGCTCCGTGGAAGGCGGCGGCGGCGGAGGAGGGGGAGATGACGGCCCCCATCAGTTCCCTCTTCGGGCCGGGGTCGCGTTGGAGGTGGAGGGTGTTGCCAGCAGCCTCATCTTCTTCCGTGCTTTTCTGGTTGTCCACAATCCCAACAAACATGCACAGCCAAAAGTGCTTAAAAATTCGGGGGAATCCGCTGCAGCTGGTGCAGGCGCTGCGGTTGCCCACTTTATACCCCGGACGGCGATTTCCCAGCCATGCCCTTCAGCACCTCGTCTATTCGATCGTCTTCGATGACCACTGCAGGGGAGGAAGGACAAACCCAACAGGCGCCGTCAGGACGGGAGGAGGCGCCGGGTCTCCCCTCCCCTCCCCTCGGCCTCTTGGCCCTGGGAGGCGGGGGGGGGAGGAAAGGAAGGGGATGGAAGGTCGGACGGGCAACTTTGGGGGTCCCGGCTCCGAGAGGCTCGGCATACGAGTCGCCTCCCGCCAAGCGGAATCCCCCGCTGGCCGTCAAGCCCCTCCAGGAGGCCAGGGCGGTGCGGGAAGAAGCGGGGCAGCCGGGGCAGAGAGGCGGTCGGAGCGCTCAAGGGAGCCGCGGCTGGGCGTCTTTTGGGGAGGTGGGCGCCCAGATTCCTGCGCCAAAGAGGCCTGGTGGGCAGCAGCCCCGATCGTCGGGGGGATCTCAACGCGGGCGCGATGGGGAGGTCTGAGGAGGGGGTGGGGACACACACACACACACACACACACAGCGCCAGCCGGCCGGCCCTCCCCGCTTTTCTGCGGGAGGATCCACCTGCGGGTGGGAAAATTACAGCGGCAGCCAGGGGGGAGGGGGCGGCGAGGGGGACCTCAGCCGGGGGGGGACTACCGGAGGGGGGGCAGAGGGGGAGAAAACACGTCTATTCCCCCCCGTCCCCAAGAGTCGCGGAGCAGGGCGCTGAAATGCCTGGCTTCCCCCCCCCCATTCCTTCCCCCCCCCTTTCTTCCTTCCTTCCTCCTGCAGCGACGGCGGACAAGGATTTCGGGGGGGGGGGGAAGAAAGCTGCTTGCGCCGATGTCCCCGAGAGGACGCGCGGCTCACCTCGCTTGGCTCGTCCGATCTGTCCTAACTTCGGGGGCCGCTTGGCCTGGTTGCCCCAGGAGTTGGTGTCCTGGAGGCGGCAGCTGAAGGAGAGGTCGCCCACCTCCGAGTCGGCGCCATAGCGGGCCACTTTGTCGTCGTTGTAAGGCAGGATCTCAGACATCGTGGCGGCGAAAAAGCAGCGGCGGCGGCTGGCGGTGAAAAAGCGGCGGCGGCGGCGGCGGCGGGTGCCCGGCTTGGAGAGGAGGAAGGCTGGCGAAAGGAGCGGGCGAGGAGGGCGGGCAGACGGAGGACGGACGGGGAGGGCGGGCGGGCGGCTCCGAGAGGCAGCGCGGCTCAGCCGGGGCGGGCGGGGTGGGGGTGGGGGAAGCGCGTGTGGCGTCCAACAGCCTCGACCAGCGTCTGAGCCGAGCGCTTGGGACAGCCCTACATCATAAAGGAAACCCGGGCGGAAGGATGAAGTCATGCATCCGGGGGCTGGCGCGCCAAGGGCCTCCTCCGGAGCCTTGCGTGCAGCCCAGGGGCGGGGACAACCGGGCTGGGGGGTGGGGAGAAGAGAAGGTTGCAGCAAAAGGCCCCCCCCCCAGAGGAAGACCCGCTAGATCCTCCCAGCTCCTCTTGGCCTCGCCCCTCCCCCGGGCTTCGCTTCCTTCCCGGAGGGAAGCTCTCCCGGCTGGGGGGACCGCCTCTTGCCTCCCCTCCCCCCCCCCCGGCTTGCGGGCCTCGCTGTGGTTCTCCCCATTCGGCATTCCCGATCAGCAGCCCAAGCCCAAGCCCTGGGGCACCCCGGGGTTCACTGGGTGATAGGAGGTGCTTCTGAGCATGTGCAGAAGACTTTCCTTACGAGGGGCTTCTCCTTCGAAAGCCCGTCTGGAATATATATATGTACATACATATATATACATATATATACATACATATATATATGTATGTATGTATACATACATACATACATACATATATATATATATGTACAGGTAGTCCTCGACTTTTTGAGCCCAACGTTTCGGTTGCTAAGCAAGACCTGGGTGCTTTGTCCCCGTTTTGTGACCTCCCTTGCCACGCTTGTTAAGTGATAAGTCGGTTGCAAAGTGAACCTGGCTCCCCCCCCCCGTTGGCTTTGCTTGTCAGAAGGTCGCAAAACGGAGTCACGTGATCCCCAGCCACTGCAATGGTCATAAGTTTGAACCCATTGCCAAGGATCTGAATTATGGTCATGTGACCATGGGGATGCTGCAAAGGTCATAACTGTGAAAAAATGGTCATGAGACACTTTTTTAGTGCCCTTGTAACTTGCAGGGGTCATTAAATGAACTGTCGTAAGTCGAGGACTACCTGTAAGGACGGAGTCTGTTTGGTCAAGTGGGCCCTCCCGTCCCCGAAGAATAGTTTTATGAGATCAGGGCAAACACAGAATTTGAGCTTGTCACTAATAATAATAATAATAAACTTGGAAGGGACCTTGGAGGTCATCTAGTCCAACCCCTGCTCAGGCAGGAAACCCTATACCATTTCAGACAAATGGCTCTCCAGTCTCTTTTTAAAAACTTCCAGTGTTGAAGCATTCACCGCTTCTGGAGGCAGGTTGTTCCACTGGTTAATTGTTCTAACTGTCAGGAAGTTTCTCCTTAGTTCTAGGTTGCTTCTCTCCTTGATTAGTTTCCACCCGTTGCTTCTCGTCCTGCCTTCAGGCGCCTTGGAAAATAGCTTGACTCCCTCTTCTTTGGGGCAGCCCCTGAGATATTGGAACACTGCTATCCTGTCCCCCCTCGTCCTTCTCTTCATTAAACTAGACATGCCCAATTCCAGCAGCAATTCCTTATATGCTTTAGCCTCCAGTCCCCTAATCATGTTTGTTGCTCTTCTCTGTACTCTTTCTAGAGTCTCAACTTCTTTTTTACATCGTGGTGACCAAAACTGGAAGCAGTATTCCAAGTGTGGCCTTACCAAGGCCTTGTAAAGTGGCATTAATACTTCACGTGATCTTGATTCTATCCCTCTGTTAATGCAGCCCAGCGCTGTGTTGGCTTTTTTGGTAGCTGCAGCACACGGCTGGCTCATATTTAAGTGATTGTCCACCCTCTCACAGTTACTACTATTGAGCAAGGTATCCCCTATACTATACCTGTACATTTGGTTTTCCTTGCCTCAATGTAGAACCTTACTTTTTTCACCACTGAATTTCATTTTGTTAGATAGCGCCCAGTGTTCAAGTCTGTCCAGATCCTCCTGTATCCTAAGCCTGTCTTCTGGAGGGTTGGCTATTCCTGCCAGCTTGGTGTCATCAGCAAACTCTTTCAGTGAAACCCACTTTACAGAGTTATTGTGACGAAAATAGGACGAAGTATAATGTATGTTTGCTGCCTTGAGTTATAGATAGTCCTTGACTTAAAATAGTTCATTTAATGACTGTTCAAAGTTATTTGTCAACGCTGCTAACATCGGATGTTCTTGCTTTGACAATATATGAAGATGCAGCCATTTTCTCTTTAACCTGTGTGTTACTTTTAGAGTTAGAATTAGATGATGCTGGGAGGGAGGAGGAAGAATGCGTATGGGGTAACACATCCCAGTAGAGTATTCTTCAAGGTTGTTTGAAACAAGAGATGATAAGGAATGGCAGGGTTTTGGAACTGGAGGGAAGGTTTGCATTCAAACTAATTGGAGAATGTGATTTATGACAGTTAATTGGAGGAGGGAATTGGGCTTTGATACTATGTGTTTAGGGGAGGGGAATTCAGATTATGGCTTCGACCATGTACGTGCCGATGCCATGCTATTTGAATAAAGATTCTTTAAGGCAGTGGTTCTCAACCTGTGGGTTGGGACCCCATTTGGGGTCGAACGATCATTTCACGAGGGTTGCCAAACAATGCAGTCCGCCATTTTTTCCCCCTTTTCCTTAGCTGTGCTACTCCTTTTTATTCTATTGGCTTTTGAAAGCCAATAGAATAGACTCTCTTGAATAGAGTCTAATTCTATTGGCTTTCAGAAGCCAATAGGAATTGTCCAGGCTGTCTCTGCCCTGCTGAGCCTGCCAAAAGTCCCATTCTGCAAACGGTGCTGCACCAGTTGAGTAGTCCTCGACTTACGACCGGTTGGGGAGTCGCGGCATTAAAAAGGTTGAGAACCACTGCTTTAAGGGAAAAGATGCCTCGAAGTTCTTTGAAGAGTAAGGAACCAGGACATCAAGCCAAAATCTACAAACTTTTCAAACCATCTAGGGGCCCTGAACCCCAGTCGCTGTTCCTAAACTTAGGAAATGGGCTGACGAAGATTTGGGGAAGATTTCATCATGGAAGAAGAGAACATGGCTGCATCTTCATATAGTGTCAAAGCAAGAACATCCGATGTTAGCAGCATTGACATTATTATAGCACTGATAAAAAGTGACCCATGACTGTTTTTGATGCAGCCATTGCAGCATCCTCTTAGTCATGTTAGCAAAGTTCGGACGCTTGGCGATTTATTTATTTATTTATGAGACTTATATCCCGCTTTAAGTGCAAGCACTCTCTAAGCGGTGTACACTCTCTAAGCAATGTATGTATATATCAGTAAGCAATGTATGTATATATAGCGTGTGTGTGGGGGAGCGTCTGTGAGCCCAGGGAAACTTGTAACACTGATAGAGGAGAAACAGATGCCCCCAGGGTGGAGAATGAAAACAAAAAGGGGAGGACGGTCAGTGCTATGGAAGGAAATAAGGATAAAGGGGTGGTGGAGGAGATGAATACCAGTAATGAGATAGTGGAAGGAATGATCCGGAAGAACCATAGAAGGAAGCGTAAGGAGAGTAATAAAGAAACATCTGGAACACTAATTAACCGGCCGGGACCAGTGATGCGGTCCATGAGCCGGGTGCAGATGCCGGCAAAACCCATTTAAGTCATCATTGTTTACTGGCTCCTTAGCCCTGATGATGTTTGGAGTTTCCAAACGAAAGCTTGGCAGCTTTTAGTAAAGTATATTTTTATATTTATACTCTCCTGGTGTTCGTATTTTATTTGTACCATATATATATATTTACATTGCCCCCAACAATCTGGGTCCTCATTTTACCTACCCCGGAAGGATGGAAGGCTGAGTCAACCTTGAGCCGGTGAGATTTGAACCGCTGACCTGCTGAACACAGTCAGCTAAAGTGGCCTGCAGTACTGCACTCCAACTGCTGCGCCACCTCGGCTCAGATTGACTCGTATTTATGACAGTTTCAGTGTCCTGGGGCCAAACGATTCCCTTTTGGGACCTTCTGACAAGCAAAGTCAAGGAGGAAGCCAAGTTCGCTTAACCACCGGGTTACTAATGTAACAACGGCAGCGGTTCGCTTAATAACGGTGGCAGGAAAGGTCGTAAAATGGGGCAAAATTCACTTAATTGTCTCCCTTAGCAAGAGAAATTGGGGGCTCCACTGTCATAAGCCAAAGCTTATAAAATAATATGGACAACAAAAAAAAATCTAATAAGTAAATAAAAGCTTGGGTGAAAGATGATGGCTTAATCATGCTTTATTGAACAGACAGTCATTGGGTGGGGTTCGACAAGATTTCAAGGTTAAGGACTGGTCTGGTGTGCATTTCTGACACCTAGCTGGGTCTGGGGCTGGGGGGATCCCTTTTTGGAAATGTACCCAGCTGGGTTTTAACGGTGGCAATAACCAAGACTCCAGGGCAGGGATGCGTTATGGCGATTCTTATCCGGGAGTCTCTTGAGGCTTTCAAGGGTGTTTCTCCATAGGTTGCCAGACAAGAAGCAACGGATGGAAACTAATCAAGGAGAGAAGCAACCTAGAACTAAGGAGAAACTTCCTGACAGTTAGAACAATTAACCAGGAACAATTAACCAGTGGAACAACCTGCCTCCAGAAGCGATCAATGCTCCAACATTGGAAGTTTTTAAGAAGAGACTGGACAGCCATTTGTCCGAAATGGTATAGGGTTTCCTGCCTGAGCAGGGGGTTGGACTAGATGACCTCCAAGGTCCCTTCCAACTTTATTTGTTATTATGTTATTATGACATTATTATTATTATTATTATTGATCATCAGGGGGTTGGACTAGATGACCTCCAAGGTGCCTTCCAACTTTACTATTATTATTATTATTATCGCACAGTCAGCCAGATGTTCAGACTGGATTTGGCATTTTGTCTACCTATCGAGTCCTTACCCAGGACCTGGGATAGGCAGATGTGGATGTTTGATGGTATTACAGATATCGTTGCAGGATGGAAGCGATTCCTAGTAAGGCCGCCTTTTGCAATTGACCAATAGCGAATTTGTCAATGCCAATGGTGTTCAAGT